ATATATAAATATATATATATATACATACATGCATACATACATAACACACAGGACACACAAACATGCCCTGCTCCCTCTCAAGACAGTATTTATTTGTAGGTTGTACATAATCCGTGGAGGATGCCGTTTTCACCTTGTTGGGAGACCACAAGGAGCTCCGAGGCCATCACCTGGTAGCTTGCTCTTCCTTTTCACTTTTTATCGGCGGTACTGTAAAATAACTGACCTTATGGCGGGGTGGGGGAATGGGGGCAGTTTTGATCTCTCTTCCCTCAAAGCACACAGCTGGCTCCTGACAGGGAAGGATAGTGGAGGCTAAAAGCAAAGTTATTACTCCATGTCTGCACCAAGACAACACTGTAGCATGGAACCCATCGTGTGGAACGTGAGCCTTTCAGCCAGGTTCATCCTGAGGAAGTTGGAGTCTTGTGAGTGGCCACCCTTCGAAACGTTCCTCCTTGCTTTAGAAAAGGCTGGGCTCCGAGTAAGCCTCCCATCCTTCCCCCCTGCCCCCATTTCCAGAGGTATCTATACCAGCCCCTGCCACACCTACAAAGACTTTAGCACTTTCTTCTTCCTCCTCTGTACATTTCTCTGCCTCAAAGCACATTGTGGAAAGAAGCTCTCCAGGGGGAAATGACGTGGCGGTGGCACCTCTCCAGGGACCTGAACTGTTTAAGGGAGAAGACGGTGCTTCATCCAGAACATTTCACGCGTGGGTCCCTGTGGGGCCCTTAGAAGCCACTTCATCCCACCCTGATGAAGTCAAGGAGTAAAGTTATTATTAGATCTTGGTTGAGCCTGTCCTGTTGAGCTAGTGAGATGCGAGTGTTACCGTGTGTAAAAGTGATGACATAGCAGATGACTTGGCAATAAGTACAAAAGAGTGGGTGGGGAGGTGGATGTAGTTCTAGGTGTAGGAAACTGGCTTTACAGAGACAGTTTTTACCTGATGGATATGGTGGGTTATGTCCAGGTGTCTTATGCCCAGGGAGATGTAATAATGTATATATGAACCAAAGCTACTCTCCTGTAGCGCATCTGTCAGATGCTTCCAAGGCCAAAGACAGCGTGGGAATGGAGGTGTCTGTGAGGATTACACAGCCGTGGATTGCCATCAGATATTTGGCTTCCTTTCAGTTAGCGCAGGGAAGAGTCGGGCCTTTGTTTTCCACCATGGTTGTTTCTTATACTGTCAGACTAATGGATTTGCCCACTCCGAATCCAAATCCACAGTCTGACGATGCCGGTCTGTTTAGGAGCAGAGTACAAGCAACGAGAAGCAGGCTAGTCTGCTCCAACACATTTGAATGTGTCCAGAGTGCTGTCCTCCAGACATTGTTATTGGTCTGCACTTCCAGCCTGCCCCAGCCAGCGCAGCTAGTGGTAAGGAATGCTGGGAGTTACAGTCCAACAACACCCAAAGGACTCCAATTTGCCTGCCATATACATTTCTGTGGCATTGCCATTACTGATTGTCGCCCCCCCCCCCGTGAGCAGGGGGAGGACTGACTGGGCAGGACATGCAAGGAGCATTGCCTCTCCCCCCCCCCCCTGTGAGCAGGGGGAGAACTGACTGAGCAGGACATGCAAGGAGCATTGCCTTCCATGGATAGAGAGCGAGATGCAGTCCCAGAGAAACCTACTTGTTACTTCCCCTCTTAACTACAAGGAGGATTATTATTAAAGTGTGTAGGCTACGGACTAATAAGCTATAATAAGGTATTTCTTGTATCGAGGATTTTTTTCTGCACACTCGTCCAATAAGCCACTATGGCTTTTTAAGGTAAAAGGAGCCAGGTGTGGGATATTGCCAGCAACATTGCACAGAATAGCTCAGTGGTTAAGGCATCTGGCTGCAGAGCCAGAGGTTGGGAGTTTGATTCCCCACCATGCCTCCTTGAGAGGGGCTGGACTTGATGATTCAGAGGGTCCCTTCCTGCCCTGCAGTTCTAAGATTATTATTATAAATGAAGTACAAATACAGCCATATTGTGAAGGCAGGGTTTGGAGTTTAGGTATTTTAATTGTGCAAGTGAGAAATCAGATGGATCATAACTTTAATCTGAGCAAGGTTTGTTTCACACCAGACTTATTTTGAATGCCAATCGTGGTGAAAGTAAACAGGAATCCTGTTCTTCACTACTGAGTAACCAAACCAAGGACTAAAACGGAGGACTGCAGGCTCAAAGGTAACTCTGAGGCAGACCCTACCTCAGCACCTCTTGTTTTAGAAATCAAGCATACCAGACTACCCCCTTCTCCCACATCCTTTGTGCTCCCCTGCTTTATGCCTTTCCAAAACATCTTGAGTGTCTTTTCCACAGTAGGTTTTACTGCACTGTGGGACTTTTTCTTATTTTTGAACTCCTCCCTGCTGCTGCTGCTGCTGCTGCTGTTGCAGGCTGATGTTAGACTGGTTTCCCTGCTATTGACCTGTCTTCTACATTCCATACTCCAAAGAGGTAGTCAATCCAAGTTCTGAATTTGCAGTAATCCACAGGGTTTCTGTGGAATTACACTGTTCTACATCTTCTGGATAGCAGCTAGCTCTTTCCTTGTGGCAGTGACTTAAGTGTGGATACAAAAGAAATGGCTGCTCTCATCCTGCATTGGAGTCCCTTTAATGTTGTGCTACTTGCGGGGGGGGGGCTATAATTGCAGAGGCTATGAAAATATATAAGGGAAAAGACCATGGCCAGAGCGACTGTTAACCCTGTGTGTACTCTAAGTGAACTTCCACTCAGATCTGCATTTCCCATAGGAATGCATTGAGAACCATTTGATCCGTATCTGCTCTTTTCCGTCCATAGAAACTAATGGGAAGCTGCTATTCCGCCTTCGACCACTAGAGGGGGGTATTTTGTTTCTTTTTTTCTTAGGTCAAGAAAGGTTCAGGGAAGGCAGGGAAAATACAGTCCAGGCAGTTCAGTACCAGGCAGTCTGAAGACTGTCTCCCAATCCACTCTCTAAACGCTGGGAGGAGTGAGGAAGCAGACAGGCACGCTTTTCACTGGCCAACAGTTAACTGAAAGTTCAAATTTTGCACTTTCCCTGCCTCCCACGTGGTTTTTTTCAGTTCTTAACTCAAATCTAAGTATGTAAGTCAAGTCAATATTTTCCTATGAGAGTGGTTCTTAAGTCAAAATGTTCTTAACTCAAGCCGTTCTTAAGTCAAGACCCCACTGTAAGGGAAAAGACCATGGCCAGAGCTACTGTTAACCCTGTGTGTACTCTAAGTGAACTTCCACATTCGGGGTGGTTCCTTGTACTTTCTGCTTCTTTCTGGTCAGCAAGACGCAGACTTCACTGAGCACGGGAGAAGCCGGCACTTTGGACCCATTAGGTTACTGGCCCTATGCCACCTGCTCTTAACAGAGATTTCACCTTTCATGTTTGGGAGCCCTGGGCTCACCTCATTCACCTTCCCTTACAAGCAGGCCCCCCTCCCCTTCCCACTCCCAAGTGATGATGCGTGTGTACTTTCTACTGTAAATAGCTGTAAATCAAAAATGTAACAAAATCCGGGGATGGGGAGCATCTTGACAAAATAGCTCCTTGTGATGAATTTGAGTGCAGAGCCACTTTGCACCTGTAATGTGAAACTCCTGTGGATAATAGAACAAGCTAATAAACACTGGCTTTGTTTTTGAACCCTGAAGACTCGTCACCTTCCCTTCCACCCTTCAAAACACTTCCCATGTTCAGCCTTGGGGCTTTGGGCTCATCTTGTGTTCCACTGGTTTGGCCTTAGGTCACCATCCCCACTCCTTATCAGAACAGCTGCTCTTCTTCTTCTTCTTCTTCTTCTTCTTCTTCTTCTTCTTCAGACTTCACTGAGCACGGGAGAAGCCGGCACTTTGGACCCATAGGTTACTGGCCCTATGCCACCTGCTCTTAACAGAGATTTCACCTTTCATGTTTGGGAGCCCTGGGCTCACCTCATTCACCTTCCCTTACAAGCAGGCCCCCCTCCCCTTCCCACTCCCAAGTGATGATGCGTGTGTACTTTCTACTGTAAATAGCTGTAAATCAAAAATGTAACAAAATCCGGGGATGGGGAGCATCTTGACAAAATAGCTCCTTGTGATGAATTTGAGTGCAGAGCCACTTTGCACCTGTAATGTGAAACTCCTGTGGATAATAGAACAAGCTAATAAACACTGGCTTTGTTTTTGAACCCTGAAGACTCGTCACCTTCCCTTCCACCCTTCAAAACACTTCCCATGTTCAGCCTTGGGGCTTTGGGCTCATCTTGTGTTCCACTGGTTTGGCCTTAGGTCGCCATCCCCACTCCCTATCAGAACAGCTCCTCCTCCTCCTCCTCTTCTTCTTCTTCTTCTTCTTTTTGAGGTTTTTTGGAGCAGGTGAGTTAAAATCTTCAAGCATTGATTCTTACTCTTGGAAACTGTTCACAAGATTGCCTTTTTGTATGTACAGTGCTGTATATGCTTTAATAATGGTACCTCGTATCACTGTGCTTGCAGTTTTTCCAAAAAACGCTGAGACCTCCTTCCATTTTGTGGCGTGTGTGATTCTCAGAGCTTGCAAGTAAGGCATTGCAAGTAACAGTACTGCCCATAACAGGTTGCTTTTGGGATAGCAATGATCAATAATCTTATTTTAACATAATGAACTCATGGCACCTTCATTCTTGGGCAAAATACACAGATTCTTGAGTAGGAAATTGCCTACAGTTCTGGTCGCCACACCTCAAAAAAGACAGAGTGGAACTGGAAAAGATGCAGAAGAGAGTGACTAAAATGATGACGGCTGGGGCACCTCCCTTATGAGGAAAGGCTACAGCGTTGGGGGCTTTTTAGTCTAGAGAAAAGATGCATGAAAGGGGACATGATTGAGACATAAAAATGATGCAGGGGATGGATAAAGTGGATAGAGGGAAGCA